TTCAGAAGCCATCTCCGGTTACAATCTGGAAACACTAGCAAGTATATGTACTTTCATTTTTCTAAGGCTTGGAGTCCAACTCCTTAGCTGCAGCAAGTAGTTTAAATCTAGCTGTGTATCTATAGGAAAGAAGGGAGGAAGAATGTTGCTTGCTTACTCTCTTTTCCAATGGAAGCCAGAAATACTGAGATTTGTCATTTACTGAAATCCATTGCACCTGCAGACCTTTAATATGTACAGCTTGGTTATCTCCCCACAAGACAGGTACTTTTGGAGATCAGAGCATAACTTGTGATGCAATTTACAACTGTCAGTTGTGCTATGATAGCCATTGGAGAGACTGATGTGCATTGCAAGAGTGCCCAGTGCCTAAATGTATCTGCTGTCCTGTTGCACTCCAGGCCAGGAAACACCTCTGTATTTAACCACCACACTCCAGTCCAAGTTAAATCAGCAAAGCAGTTTATTGAAGATTATATAAAAAAGCAATTCAGCAAAAACAGTACAAGCTTTAAAGTTTATAAATATAAAATAGTCCACAAGGTTAAAGGGACAAGAGTAATCCAAAATCGCAAGGCAACATGACATCCAGTACAGGAATACAAGAAAATCAGGAAGGCAAGGCATTATAGAATCCAATTTAAAAATCCAGAAACAATCCTTCAAACTTGGAAGGAATAAAGACATGGAACTAGAATTCCCTCAGAAAGCTTTACTAGGACTTGGCAAGAGCTTTTGTCTCAATTATCAGTGTTGACCAGACTGGGTGGAAAATGTTTGTGGCCTCTCTAATATAGACATGAAGTCATGCCTTCTCACATGAGTTTCTGATACGGGTTTCTTCTGTAACAGGTGCTGTGACCTTCGGAAATTCTTCTGAGCAGGCCAAAATTTACAAAAACGAAGTCTCCTATCAATCAGCTCATGATTCTCTGCACCTAGGATTTCAGTCTCTGAACTCTTCCCTAGAGACTGGCTCTTCTGCATCATCTCAGCAACTCTCTGGAATGTGACCTCTGCTGGTGACACAGACTGATCATTTTCAGGACTTAAAATTTCATGTTGACTCTCAGGCCTAGAGTTTCCATGATCCATGTCCACATTGACATTGGTATCAGCCGCAATCATGGGCTGAACTACATGTCCTGATGAACTCTCTGATGTGTATCAGGACCCCAAATAGGAAATGCCAGAATTAGAAGTAGCCAATGTCCAATGAAACACATTGTCCAGATGTGTATCTTTGCTATCCACTAGCAAGGATTTCTTGTGTTTCTGCAATGTAGCCACAGAACCATAATGTTATGATCTCTGCATTTATTTAAACCTTTAACAAGATTTTCTTTTATGTTGTTATCCACTTGGAGGACATAGTCTCAACAAGTGGCTAACTAAGGAAACAAATCCAGACACTTTCAACCCATCTCAAAAGATTAGAAGTAGTTAAATGGAAAGGTAGAGGATCCCCAGCAAATACCTGCAGCCATCTGTATTGGAGGCACTTAGAGCAAGATTGCATTAGTTGTGTTTGTAAATCAAATGCAGCCGTTAACCTCCATTGGGCTAAAATGTTAATTGGATTTCAGACAGACTCTCTGGTACAATTCTCGGATCCTGCATTAACAATTTCTCCAAGTGATGCATTTTAGTGAAGAAAGTTTTCTGGTTTGCACCACCAGTAGTGAAGTTTAGTGCTGCTTTTCCAGGCCACCTGCATGTGGTTACAGAAGATGTGGCTGGAGTTTCTCTTTTCCGGAGTTTCTCTTTTCATAAAAGATGTTATCTCTTTTTCTTTGGAGTTGCCAAGACCAAGCTTGAAACCTAGACTTGATAATGAAGAAGTATGGAGTTGACTAGAAATGAGATCTAAGGGATAGACATCTTTTGGCAAAGGAAGGAAGGCGACATATGGCATTGGGAGAAGAGGAATGATCAAATTAATGAAATTCTGCATTTTGCATTATTCATTTCCTAATTTGATATGGGTGGTGTTGGCACTGTAAGGGTCCCAAGGTATCAGGCAAGTTGTAAGATAAATATTAGGCCTGGGTAACAACGGAAAAATTTGTTTCTAAAATCGATTTGTATTTGGGGGGTTTTTTTGTTTCGATATTTAAAATAATTACAAAATTTTCCTTTTAAAAAGTTCGATATTTACGAAATTTCGTAAATGGTAAAAAATTAACGAATCGATTTCCGAAACAATAACGAATCGATTCGTTAATGGCGGACGCGACCGCGAAATACAATAAAAAACCTCCAAAACCTTCTGAAGCTTCCCTCTCCCTCTGTTGTTGACTGTTGGTGTGATATTATAATTTTTTTTCACTAATTAAACCATAAAACTGGCCCAGACATGCGGAAATAATAACGAAACGACCTCAAAACAATAACGAAACGAATACAATATCGAAATACGAAGCATTTACAAAACGTTTTTGAAAATTCATTTTTTAAAATAATTGCTCCAGAATGGTTCATTATCGTTTTGTAATTGAAAAAATTAACGAATTACGAATTAACGAAACGAAACCGCCCAGCCCTAATAAATATGTTTCACTGATTTAACTTCTATCAGTGCAAGTCTTTGGGTTAGAAAGATTTCTTTATTGTTGACAGAACAGAAAGCAAACAAACACAAGAGAGCTGATGGGTCAGCTTCTTACATATCAATGTTTGCTAATGAAACTTGTTAATTGCAAACTATTTTTTTTTAAAAATGCATTGAAGCCTTCAGGTATCCAAAAAAAGTGTTTCACTTTGAAACTGGAGTATTGAATGTTCTGTGTCCCACTAGTAAGGTTAAGACACTGTGGAAAGATGGACAAATTCTTTTTAGCAACGATACCTCAAACAGGACCAAGATCAAGGTGTGGCCAAAAAGCAGAGCATCAGAGTCTAGCCAATTTATTTTGAGAGATAAATTGTCTCCTTCTTTTCTCTTTGATAAAGAGACTACTTGGCCATTTTAAGTAGCAACTTCATGACACTTCAATATCAGTTTCACAAGGCAGCCACCTCTCTTTGACTGATGGTAGAGCCAGTCTCCTCCACAGGATCTATAAATGCATTCTGTGTTGTATTGGTTTTGTTTTATAATAACATACCTGCAAGTAGTCAAATTAAAAACAAATTATCTGCTTACTATTTTGTGACGGACTGGATGAGGGCTAATAAGTTGAAAGTACATCCAGAAAAAACAGTGGTACTCCTGATAAGTCGGAAGGTGGATTGAGGATTACAACCTGAGCTGGTTGGGGTCACACTCCCCCTGAAGGCACAGGTCCACGGTCTGGGGGTGATTCTGGATTCATCGCTGACCCTAGAACCTCAGGTGTCAGCTGTGGCCAGAAATGCCTTTGCACAACTAAAATTTGTGCTCCAGCTGCACCCATACCTTGAGACAGTAGTCCACGCCTTGGCTACTTCTCATTTGGACTACTGCAATGCTCTCAACGTGGGGCGGCCTTTGAAGATAGTTCAGAAGCTTCAATTAGTTCAGAGATTGGCAGCCATGTTACTAACTGGAACACCGTATCATGAGAGGATGATTCCCATGTTGCGGCAGCTCCACTGGCTGCTGATTTGCTTCAAGGCTAAATACTAAGTGCTAGTTATTACCTAAATGTCCTAAATGGTTCAGGCCCAGACTATTTGAAACAACGCCTCTCTGTGTATAAACCAACATGAGCACTGCAGTACGTGGAGGAGGCCCTGCTCTCGGTCCCACCTCCATCTCAAGCACGGCTGGTGGAAACAAGAGAGGGGGTCCTTTCTGTGATCACTCTCTACCTCTGGAACACCCTCCCAAAATAATTGAAAACTGCCCCCTTACTCCTCTCCTTCAAGAAACTGTTAAAAACCTACCTATGTACTCAAGTGTACAGGGAGGAAGAAGATTAGCACTTTATTAACTCTGACTCAGTTAATGGAGACATGCTTCAGCCCGGGCGGCTTGCCGCAAATTGTATTATACATTTCAAAAATTTTAATTGCTTATTATTATTAGAGTCATTAGAGAAATGTGTCCCAATTGTTCTATTTGCATTTTTAAATTTTTCATTTGTTATTTCTGAGTTGTTTTATAAGTTGTTTATTTGATTGTCCATGATTTGATGTGTTTTGTTTTGTTTTTCACTGGCATTAAATGTTTGCCAATTTTTGTCGTAAACCACCCTGAGTCCCTTTTGAGAGATAGGGTGGGATAGAAATAAATTGTTGTTGTTGTTATTATTATTATTATTATTATTATTATTATTATTATTTGAAACACAACAAGACGAGTCCACAGCAAACAAGATCACAAGATGAGTCCACAGCAAACAAGTGTCACATGTCGGACACTTCCCAAGTGTCTAGGACTGTGTGATGTATCGGCGAATAATGCATGCAGATCCCAGTAAGGTGGCCTTCTGCAGCTGGCAGATGGTTATTTTGTCAGTGCCGATTGTGTTTAAGTGCAGGCCAAGATCTTTAGGCATTATTATTATTATTATTATTATTATTATTATTATTGTTATCTCCTTTAAAAGCATTTCTGCTGGTTGTGGTGTTGGCATGAAGGACTCTTTACCTGTAAAATGTCTATGAATGCGAGTGTGTGCTTATGTGTATTTGGTATGTCAAGGGTCACGATGTCAGCAAATGTTATCTGCTATGTTTGCCTTGAGCCAAGATGGCCCAAAAAAGTTCTCCACTTTGCATATTTTATTGAACTGACATAGTGTGATGAGATGCAAATATTGAAGATTTCCTTAAATTAAGCTTGTCAGAATTCAGGACGGGAGTGAAGAACCCCCTCCCCTCAATATTTATAAGGTTTCCAAATAACCGCATGGCAAAATCTTTAATATATTTATTATACATCGCTTTAAAATACAATAGTAATAACAGTAGTATTAGAGTAATAAAATATAAAAATATACAACTATACAGGGCATTAGTATAATTATAAAATGTAATTCAAGCTCACACATAGGGGTTCCATCTACCCTAACCCCTTAAACATACTGATATTGAAGTTTCTCCAACTTAATTCCCATTACTGTAATTGGTTTGAAGGTCCCAGGTATTCCCAAATCAGCATTGTCCCAGCCTCTTGTGATGCCATTCAGTTTGTAAACTCTTCTGCGGGAGCGGAGAATACGCTTGACTAAGTAGAAAACAAACAGGATGAGCCAGTGAGCACTGCAAGCAGAGAATCCAAAGATCAGGAAATGGAGATCTTGCCAATTTCCTGCTGCCTCTTTATAAATAGTGAAGGCCATACAGTCCCCAATGATACACCACCAGACCAATAGAGGCCAGAGGGGCGAATAATTGGTTTGGAGGTAGCGCCATCCGGAGGTGTCCCAGCTTCGTGTCCAGGGCAAGGTGATCAAAGCAAAGAGCTGGGTGGGCAGCAGCACAGCAATGTAGAGGGCAGATGAGAGGGAAGCCAGGAGCATGGTGAACTTCTGGCGTAGGATGGTTGCTGAGATGGCTTTCATCAGGCCACTCAGCTGGATGCAGATGAGTAGCCACAGCCACACTAACATGCTGCAATTGTAGACAAGGTACAAAGCTGGACCAGCTACCAGGACTAGGAAATGCACCGAAACAATGATTTCATAGGCGATCCAAAAAGAATAGCGGGGCCACCACACAACTCTTATGATCCACTCCCGGATGTAGGAACGGGAGCATCGGGTCCACTGAGGAAGCCAACGCAGGAAGTGGGAAGGTATATTGATGCGACAGATGGAACGTGAAGCATACCTGGGAAGGCAAACGAAAGGAAGAGGGGTGGATAAAACTAAGATCTAGGCAGAAAGTCTAAGACAAAGAAAGGAAATGTCATCATCTGTTCTAGTTCTCTGGAGATATATAGACCTTTTCAAAAAATGTGCATTTTCTCATTCTTAATATGTAAGTGTTGATTTATTTTTCACTGTTATAAATCAATATTTTAAAGTGGAGTGTTGTTTTATGATGTTTAAATGTTTGCATTACAGATGACATACAATGTAAAAGGCTTTGGATTGTATATGGGAGTAAAACGGGATTATCGCCCTCTTACTTAGTGCCATAACCAAGGCTCAGGATGCAATTGGTGAGATGCCCGTCATCTACAAAAGTGGCAAGAAAGGTCTGATGGTACCAGGGTTCCAGTATCTGCTGCAAAAGGTCATCACGGTACATGCCTGGAAAGATAGAGGAAAGGATGAGAATATGATAGTAATATATCCATTTAGGTTGAAAAAAACGATATAAAGGATACAATCTTATTGGTATCTCATGCCTACATAAGTTCTCCTATAGGAGGGATTGGGTGTTTTTGTGCAATGTAGAATGTCCATACTTTGTTTATGATTGTAGATTTCATGCAGGTTGTGTAGTTGAACATCCATCTGGTTGTGCAACATTGTCATTTAATGTTAACATTGCTTAACACAATTTACGTGTAACTCTGAATGCAGTGATTCACAATGTGCAGCCCCAATATAGTCTCTTGGCTCTTGTTAACGATTGAAACTAGATCTACCTCATGCTTCGATTAGTTAGAGGGCGTAATTGGGGATCTTGTAAGTACATTCATAAGCTATGTTCCCTAAGACTTCCCAATTTCAGCAAAACCATACCCTGTATTGATTTCCAAAAATGGTAGCTTTAAGGGTGATCAGAAAAGCTGAGCAACACAGCCCTCTTCTGTATTAACCATGCTTTCCAATATTTTGAGCACTATATTGCAGTGAAGTTGAGATAATGGGTTGTTGTAGGTTTTTTGGGCTATATGGCCATGTTCTAGAAGCATTCTCTCCTGACGTTTTGCCTGCAACTATGGCAAGCATCCTCAGAGGTTGTGAGGTCACAACCTCTGAGGATACTTGCTATAGATACAGGCAAAACGTCAGGAGAGAATGCTTCTAGAACATGGCCATATAGCCTGAAAAACCCTCAACAACCCAGTGATTCCAGCCATGAAAGCCTTTGACAATACAACGTTGAGTTATCTTGGATGCAAATGTATGCATATACAACTCGTAACTTACCCTGTCTTGAATTCTATGGGCTCTTATATCTTCTGAACATTCTTGTTTCTTGTATTGTCGAAGGCCTTCATGGCTGGAATCACTGGGTTGTTGTAGGTTTTTTCGGGCTACGCCTCACTACCTCTGAGGATGCTTGCCATAGTTGCAGGCGAAACGTCAGGAGGGAATGCCTCTAGAACATGGCCATTTAGCCCGAAAAAACCTACAACAACCCATTCTTGTTTCTATCTAAGTGATACTGTTTGAAAAAATAATTTATAAAAAATGTTCAGGTTTTTTTTTTTTGCAGAAATCAGATTGGTTGTCCCTAAATTATATTAAATATCCATAGTTGTCTGAGTACTTTGTAGATCTCTGAGATCATTAGACATCTCAGGATATTCCTTTTGATGTAATTTTTCTGAGGCTTTGAAAAGTAACATGACTATAGTGTGCAAGAGTAATGGTCCCAGTCCTCTGAGAACCTCCTTCCTTTACCCCAGATCATAAATTAGATGTTATTTCCAAGCTAAGGCTCACCAAGGGGACCACTGATACAGGAGACGCAGTTGAAGAAAGACTGGCAGGCACGTTCAATGTTGAAGTCCATCCAGGAGGACAGTCCGCTCATGAAGCTGAAGTAGGAGTTTGTGCAGTTGATGATCTTTACCTGCCCTCCAACTGCCCCACAGTTTGAGTTCGATGTCAGTACTTTCACCAGCTCCATTGTTGCACTTGAGTCCAGTATGATATTTGAATCACAAACCTAAGTGAACATTAATGTTGTTGTTGTTCATTCATTCAGTTGTCTCCGACTCTTCGTGACCTCATGGACCAGCCCACGCCAGAGCTCCCTGTCGGCCGTCACCACCGCCAGCTCCTTCAAGGTCAGTCCAGTCACTTCAAGGATGCCATCCATCCATCTTGCGCTTGGTCGGCCCCTCTTCCTTTTACCTTCCACTTTCCCCAGCATAATTGTACATTAATGTAGTGGGTCAGTAATGGAAAATCTCTGTTTATGACTCTTTCTGCAAGACCCCTTTTCTCACAGCACATTTTTGTCCATGTCCCTCCAGATCAGAGTTGCCAGAAACCCAGATTTTAAGGGACAGTCCCATATTTGAATGAAATGTCCTGTGTCTCGTTACATTCTTTTCCAAGACATCAATTGTCCAGCCTCTCCTCCTTTCCCTCCTTCTCTCCCTTCTTAACTTCCCAGAGTGTAAATATGCAGCAGTTTATTTGGAGTCCCTTTAAGGGACCACTGCAATTCCTTGTAACTGTCATCTGACTGTAAAGATAAAACCTTTCATATTCATTCCAAAGATTTTCTGTGCTGAAGAAAATAACACATTTTCTAATGGCTTGGAGAAGCTGTTAGTCAACTATGTCTATTTAGAAAAAAATACTTTTCAATAACCAGTAAACAATAGGAAACATTAAGAAGAGATGAGGAACATTGGCCACCTCTTTGTGTTGAAATACATTTCCTATTGGCTTTTGGCAATACAGCAAATGCTAGTATTGCTAGAAGTTATAGTTCAACATAACATCACCCAGGCTGAACAGAACATATGCTGTTACTGCACAGGAAAATATTCAATGTCATTTATTAAGATAAGGATGAAGAAAAGGCATACCTGGACGTAGTGCACTTTGTCCTGCAGGGCTTTGAATGCTGTGTACATCACTTCCCGCTTTCCACCCTGTTTCTGCATGATACAGACACACCTCCTGGTCCGGATCAATGTCTCCACTTCTTTTTTCTCAATATCTTCTGCTATGCCACCTGCTGTTGGGCAACTATGATAGTTGTTCTTCCAGGCATATGTTCCCAGGTCTTCCCCACAGAACACCTCCTCAAATATTTTCATCATATACTGATCTTCTGGATTGTTGCCATCAATGATCATCACAACAGAGAGCAGGTGCTTTGGGTAGTCTATATTTCTGATTGAGGTAAGGCACTGGCGGAGGTAGGAGGGATCTTCCTGATAGGCAGAAATGGTGATGGCCACCTTTTTGGCGAAGCTTCTGGGTGTAGCAGATCGGCGTTGCCTGCGCAGTTCCCGATAGGCAAAAGAGCCTTGCAGGAGGTTGTGCAGGATCAGGTGGACAGTATAGATTCTCAGAGGAATGAACTTGAGTGACTTGTCCATCATCTCCAAAGCCATAATGTAGGAATCAAAGATGATAACAAAGAGGATAAAAGGAAAAAGACGAGTCTGCAAACAGCAGGAGAGAATGGGCTGAACCTCGGTTAGGCCAGAGACTGCCATGACTGTCAATCGAAGGATGCGTTGAAAGAGACTGTAAAGAGACTGGAACATGAAACCAAGAGAAAAAAGTTGTACATATATTAAAACACAAGTTTTAGGTTTCTCGGCTATTATGTTCTGCTAGGGTTACTTTGGTTTTCAGTGTGTGCTCACATGAAGAACCTTGTAAATTATCTTGACTGAAATTGTCTTTCACATGTATATCTACACATTTATATTTATTAAATTGATCTCCTCCTCCCAGAACTTGTCTACTAATATTTTTGGTGTGTAGTATCTTTCCACACTTGTTCATGGAAAGATTAGTCCCTGAATTATAAATTTCTGATTTATAAATGACACAGAGTTAAGAACAGGGGTGAGATAACAGGAAGTTGGAGGAATCTACCGCTTGGAAGGGAAATTCACTCCTGTAAGAGTTATCACGGGAAAAGGTGTCTCTGCTGAAGATTTCTCACCAATCCTTTCCACAACAAGCCAAACTTTTCAAAATCCCATGATTACAGGGACAGAAAGTGAGGTGAAATCTTCCGAACAGGGGTACAGGAAGAAAAATAAACACCACATAGGTGTTAACCTTTCTCTATGCTATCCAAATACAAATACACACTAGCCACCCCTGCCATGCATTGCTGTGGCCCAGTCTGGTGATCTGGAAAATAAAGTAATGAGAAAGTGCTGGTTTTTAATATATGTAATGTCTTTATGCTTGTGGGTAAACAGTATTTCTTGTTGTTTCTTTCTCAGTGTTGATGTAGAGATTGTCTGGTTTGCCTACTCTGGAACATGCAACATATAATTGTCCTTCTTTAGGGGTCCTTTTCAAATCTATGATACTCTATTCTTTTTGATTGTAGGTTAACTATAAATACCAGCAACTACAACTCCCAAATGAAAAAAAATCATTTTTTTGAGTGATGGTCACTCCTTGGGTTAGTAGGTATCTTGTAGCCAGATTTGGCGGCAATTCGTCCAGAGAATTTTGAGTTAAGATGTCACTCAAAACAAACAGGGCATACAAACACACATATACATACACACACACTAGCTGTCCCCTGCCACGCGTTCCTGTGGCCCAGTCTATTGATCTAGAAAATAAAGTAACGAGAAAGTGTTGGTTTCTAATATATGTAATGTCTTTATGCTTGTGGGTAAACAGTATTTCTTGCTGTTTCTTTGCCAGTATTGATGTGGAGATTGTCTGGTTTGTCTACTCTGGAACATGCAGCATATAATTTATGATACTATATCTGTCATATACTGTACATATATATGTGTGTGTAAATGGCTGGATGGCCCTTTGTCAGGAGTGCTTTGATTATGTTTTCTTGCCCTGGTGAAGGGAGTTGGACTGGATGGCCTTAAGGCAGTATTTCTCAACCTGGGGTTTGGGACCCCTTGGGGGGGCGGTTGCGAGGGGGTGTCAGAAGGGTCACCAAAGACCACCAGAAAACACAGTATTTTCTGTTGGTCATGAGGGTTCTGTGTGGGAAGTTTGCCCCAATTCTGTCATTGGTGGGGTTCAGAATGCTCCTTGATTGTAGGTGAACTATAAATCCCAGTAACTACAACTCCCAAATGTCAAGGTCTATTTCCCCAAACTCCATCTGTGTTTATATTTGGGCATATTGAGTATTCGTGCCAAGTTTGGTCCAGATCCATCATTGTTTGGGTCCACAGATGTAGGTGAACTACAACTCCAAAACCCAAGTTTAATGCCCACCAAACCCTTCTAGTGTTTTCTGTTGGTCAGGGGAGTCCTGTGTGCCAAGTTTGGTTCAATTCCATTGTTGGTGGAGTTCAGAATGCTCTTTGATTATAGGTGAACTATAAATCCCAGTAACTACAACTCCCAAATGACAAAATCATAATTTTTAAGTGATGGTCACTCCTTGTGTAGTGCCAAATTTGGTGTGATTTCTTCATTGGTTCTTTTGTTTTTAAGGTACTCATTATGCACAGAGCATTTTTATATATATAGATACACACACACGCATGCACTTGTTACAACTTGCATACAAACCTACAAAAACTATCTTGTTTGTAACTTCGGGACTGCCTATACAGCTCCCCACAGCCAGCATAAAAATTGTGATAATTGTGACGAAATAGTGATGGTAATACAGAACAGTTACTATCCATCTAGTGGAGCATGGCTGAATGGGATTTTGGCCATGGGTGTTGGGATGGAGAGTGGTCAATCTAGGAGTGGTTACTGAGCCCATCATTTTTGGACTTGGAATACCAAGTTTCCTAAATTTGCCAAAAGGGATTGTTATTATTGCTGCGTTTCCTGCAGTGTTAGAAAGGCAAGGTATAAATGAAGTAAATTAAGTAAATGATAAACATTTATTCCAGCTCGCATCTTGAAATGTTACTTTCTTCCCTCTCAACATAGTCTATCTCCACAAACCCTATCTTTAAGGCTCACCCTACTTTTTACTTTTCTCCCAATCTGACCCCTCTGGCACATTCTCCAGGAGCCACCTCTCAGCTAACGCAACAACATCTCCTCATATCAGCTCAAAACAAATACCCCCCTAAACAACGTATCTTATTACCAAGGTCACCCAAAGAACCATACCTGCTTTGGTTTCCAGTACGATTCTTTGGGATCTGTTATGTATACAGCTGATTTTTTAAATGCAACCATAGAAACGGCCAGTTGCAGTTGGTTGGCTCACCATTCTCTTTGACATCATGCTTAGCAGTTACTGACCAACATTCCAAATCTGGGAGTGTACATCATTTCTGCCATCCTTGCATTAATACTGTTGTCCAATTCACCAAACAAGGGATGGGAAACCTGAATTTGGGGCAATAGATGAGAATAGGCAGGCATAGCCCCACCATGCCTTGGCTTAGAAGCAGATGAAAGTCCTAACTCCATCCCAAATGCCATTGCTTTGGCTTCAAGGGGAGAGAAGAACAAAGAGGCATGGTGCCATAATGGGTATACCCAAAAGTAAATGAAACAGAGGAACATTAACTTGGACTTGTCAAATTGGAACATTCAGGCAGTATATAAATGGAAAGTATAGGGAAATGGAAAGAATTTTTTAGCTATAGTGATACATTGTCTTATTAAATTTACTTTGATGTATGGTGACCTCCTGAATGAATGACTTCCAAGACTTTATCCACATTAAAGAATTATAGCAGGTTGCACCACATTAACATTTTTAATTTTTGTGTTAGGAGTGACTTGAGAAACTGCAAGTTGCTTCTGGTGTGAGAGAATTGGCCATCTGCAAGAATGTTGCCAAGGAGACACCCAGATGTTTTACCATCCTATGGGAGGCTTCCCTCATGTACCTGCATGAGAAGCTGAAGCTGACAGATGGGAGCTCACCCCATTCCTCGGATTTGAACCACCAACCTTTCAGTCAGCATTCCTGCCAGCAGAAGAGTTTAATCCAGGCATCCTCAAACTGTGGCCCTCCAGCTGTTTGGGCCTTCAACTCCCAGAATTCCTGACAATTGAAAAAGCTCATTAGGGCTTCTGGGAATTGGAAGCCCAAACAGCTGGAGGGCCACAGTTTGAGGATGCCTGGTTTAACTCATTGCACCACCAGGGGCTCCAGACCACATTAACTGCCATGGTTCAATTGTTTCGAAGTTTGGGATTTGTAGGTTTGTGTGATTCACCCTTCTTTTTCAGAGAGCTCTGGTGACCCAAGAAAATTAAATCCCAGGATTCCATAGGATGGATCTATGGCATTTAGTGGTGTCAAACTTCCATTGTTGTGTACAGTGAATGGGAAGTCGGTCACTCTATCTTCATCAGTCTTGCTCAGCTCTTACAGACTTAGGACTCTGGCTAAGTCCATTCATCTGTCTTAAACCCTTGTGCTGACAGGACTGCGGACCAAAAGGTCCACAGTTCGAATCCAGGGAGCAGGGTGAGCTCCTGTTTGTCAGCACCAGCTTCTCATGAGGAGACTTAAGAGAAGCCTCCCACAGGATGGTAAAACATCCGTGTGTCCCCTGGGCAACGTCCTTGCAGATGGCCAATTTTCTCACATCAGAAGCAACTTGCAGTTTATTGTTGAAGGCTTTCATGGCCGGAATCACTGGGTTGTTGTAGGTTTTTTTCAGGCTATATGGCCGTGTTCTAGAGGCACTTGCAGTTTCTCAAGTCGCTCCTGACATGAAGAAAAAAAAATCTGTCTTGCAAAATGATGCATGTCTAAAAAGTATGTAGCCAACGAGAAAAGTTTGGAAACCTCTCTCACAGAATGTGGAAGGATGAGTGCTGGAAATCTCAAACAATGTGATGTATCTCGACGCTTCCAGCCACTAAGAGGCAGTGAAGCATCAATTTTAGAGAGAGACAACCTCTCATTTCGCACTCTTGGGATTGTATATTGAGCTCATATGTCTGGATTAGCTTCTTTGCTGAAGTGGCATTTTCAGAGGAAAGTGTGAGGATGTCTCTGACCTTTACAGACAGACCTGGAGGATTGAAGGCTGCATGAGAGAAAAGGACAATGGTGTGTGCGTTCATGCACACACAGAAACACACTGTCTCACCCCCAAACACAATGCAAGAGAGGTCAAACTAAGTGGCACCTGAATAGCTGAAATATGAGGAGGTGATGAATGTCTCCTATTGTCTTGTGCTAATTCCTTTCATGCATGAATGACAGGAAGAGGTGTTTAGAAAGGAGTGCCTTGGACTCCAAAACCCAAAGTCAGAGAACAAGGTTTTTCCCACCCCTTATTACCATACCATACCATACCATATCATGGCAAGGCCAAGGGAATTGGGAGTGAGGGTTTTTAAATAGGCCATCCCATGGAAAACAGCCATAAGTTTACATTTGGTGTACACCTAAGGCACCCCTTTGTGGTGTGGGTCAGGAATGCAAACCCTCACCGGTGTTTATGTAACTGGATGAGGGCAAACGGAAATGGCCTTGAAACTGGGAGTCCTGGTTCCGTAAAATCCTTTGGACTTCTTTGTATGTTTTTTTGAGTGGCTGCCATGGAGATGTTAA